AATTTTGTTGGCAACATCCAGAGCATCACAATCGGGAGCCAACTGAACATATGCCTTCTTCTCTCCGTCGGGCCTTATGAGGGTGTTGACTTTGGCCACATCAGTGTCATAGAGTTTCTTCACAGCCTGTTTGATCTGGTGCTTGTTGGCCTTGATGTCCACAATGAACACAAGTGTGTTGTTGTCTTCTATCTTCTTCATGGCTGACTCAGTGGTCAGGGGGAATTTGATGATGGCATAGTAGTCAAGCTTTTTTCTCTCGGGCACACTCTTCCGAGAGTATTTGGGCTGCCTGTTTAGAATGGTCTTCCTCTGGAAGCTAGTGTGCCACACATGGGTACAAACACATATGCCATGTACACACTGACATTTTCAGTTTTACTTTTTCCCCCTCTTTAGTTTTTCAATACAGGGTTTCTCTGTGTGTAGTTTTGGCTGTCCTGGAACTCCCTTTGTAGACCAGGCTGGCCTCAAATTCACAGAGATACACCTGCCTCTGCCTGCTAAGGTTAAAGGCATGCACCACCACTGCCTGGCTTTTGTTTTGGATTTTTAAAAGGCTTTTAGAGGAGGGATTTGTGGTGATACCTTGCCTGTACAAATAAAGCCTGTCTGAAAGTTAGAGAATGAAGCTTGCCACTAGCTAACTATAGAGGTCTGGAGATCAGACAGACAGGAAGTGAGCTAGCTATCCTGTGGAAACAGGATATAAGCAGGGAGAAAACAGGAAGTCACTTTGTAGACCAGGCTTGTCTTGAACTCACAGAGATTAAAGACATGAGCTGCCACCACCACCTGGCTTGCTCAGTTGGTAGAGCATGAGACTATTAATCTCAGGATGTGGGTTCATGCCCATATTGGGTGCCAAAATGTAGATGAATTCTTAAATGGTCTAAGTAATAAAAACCTGAAGTCAGATATAGAGAAAAATGCTGAGAGATCAGAGAGAAGGGGCAAACCATCACCACACCTTACCTCCTTAGTGTCTCTACAGACAAGAGAGCAAGCTCCATCCTCTGATCTTATTTGTACAAGCAAGTACACCACAGGGTTTCTGTTTTGTTTTTAAGGTGCTGATCATCAAACCTAAGGCTTCATGCATGCTAGGCAAGCATTCTATCACTGGACTATATCCTCAACTTTTTTCTTTTAATATATTTTTTATTTTGAGACAGTCACTGAGTTGCCCAAATTGGTCTTGAACTTTGTGACGCTGCTCCCTTAGTATCTCATGCTGCTGTGATTAGAGGCCTGCACCACCAGGGCCAGTTCAGAATTTTACCATTAATCTTAATAATGTCCATTCAGCTACCACATGCCAGTCACCACTGTAAATGCTAGGGTTATAAACACATGCACAAGGTGTCCTCTAATGCTTAGAATTTCAGTGGGGAAGACAGTTGCGCAAACAAACAACTATGTGAGAATAACCCATTTGACAACCGTGTGGCAGAAGGAATCATAAGCTGTAGTGGAGTTTTGTCCTATTCCTGTACTGTGAACGTAAACCAGTCTCTTCTCCCGCAGAGACTTTCTTCAGCTCATGTGGAAGTTTACACAAATTGAGTGAAGAGCCGCTGATTCCTCCTCCACTTCCTCCTCGAAAAAAAGTTGATCATGATGCTTCAAATTCCAAGGTAGTCATCCAGACCTGGGTTTGCCTCGGCGTACGCAAAGTTACGAATCTTCAAAGTCATGCTTGTCTTTAGAGTATTTTTTAGAGTGTGTCAATCATAATTTAGCCATACTCGATGGATTTTTAACATTTAGACTGTCATATTTGAAAAATACTTTAGTCATTTAATAATTTTTTTAAAACTTTCTTTTAAAAATGGGAACATTCAGATAATCAGAAGTACATTGTCTTTCTTGTACAGATTTGGTATGTATGTGGTGGGGAGGTGAAATTCCTATTTGAAAGAACCTGAAACTTTAGACCAGTGCTTCTCAAATGTAAGGGCATGTCCAAATCACCTGTCACAAGTGGGTTGTTGAGCCCCAGGTTATAGGGCTGCAGTTGGGTCTGGGAATTGGCTATGCTAAACCATCTTCTGCTGGGACTGACTCTGCTGCTCCCTGAATCCCACTTTGAGATCCACTGAAATGTTGGAAACAAAGCAAGATGATATGGGGCTCTTTGTTTTTAGCTTTCAGTGAAAACATCTTACATATCTGTTAAGCTGAGCCCAGAATTAAACAAAGTAATTTAGTCAGGAATGTGATAATTAACCACAATCATTTAATTTGGTTCTCTAGATTTAACTTGACACAGAAGAATTTTGCAGTCTTTTAAAATTATCTTACACATTTTTTAAGAGACTAGACATGCCCCTTTTTGTTTTGTTTAGGGAACTATGAAATCTGATGATGACCCTCCTGCTATCCCACCAAGACAGCCTCCTCCTCCGAAGGTAAAGCCGAGAGTTCCTGTCCCCACTGGTGCATTTGATGGGCCTGTGCATAGTCCACCTCCTCCACCTCCAAGAGAGCCTCTCCCTGACACCCCCCCACCAGTTCCTCTGCGGCCTCCAGAGCATTTTATAAACTGTCCGTTTAATCTTCAGCCACCTCCACTGGGACACCCTCACAGAGACCCAGACTGGCTCAGAGACGTTAGTACATGTCCAAATTCACCAAGCACTCCTCCCAGCACACCCTCTCCACGAGTGCCACGCAGAAGCCATTTGCTCAGTTCCAGTCACAGCAATCTCGCTCATCCCCCAGCTCCTCCTGTTCCGCCGAGGCAGAGCTCAAGCCATCACCTGCCCAAACTGCCACCAAAGACCTACAAACGGGAGCCCTCACACCCACCACTGTACAGACTGCCTTTGCTTGGAAATGCAGAGACTCCTCAATGACCTTAGCCATGTGTAGTCATTGACACTGGAATAGTATTTGTAAAGGTTTTTAATTTATTCAAAAGAGGCATAGTATTTTAGTACTTTTTACAAATAATGCTCTTACAAACATGCTACTGATCAAATAAGCTTTTAAGAATTAGAAAAATTGTCAGGTATGGTGGTGCACACCCTTAATCCCAGCACTCTGGAAGCAGAGGCAGATGGATTTCTGAGTTTGGGCCAGCCTGGTCTATAGCACAAGTACCAGGACAGCCTGTCTCAAAAAAAAAAACAAATCAAGAAAAGAATTCTAAAAATTAAAATGCAAAATCTCTTCACCATAACCCTCAGGTGATCAGTAGCATTGCCTTGTCTCAGCTTCTCAGTGCTACCCAAAGGCCAGTATAATCAATTTCTATTTGCACTGTAGACTCCGCTAAAATATGGCTTAAACGATATTGACTGCACTGAAGGGATAGTGTTCTCGAGGAATTTCTCAAATTTGAGTAATAGATGCCTGTTTAAGGCAACAAATTTACACAGATGCAGAGATGTACTGTGATGTTACTGGTTTTTAAACCTCTTTGACTATCTTCTATGTTTTAACTTCATTTGGTTTTTTTACATCTAGTGAATAATACCCACTGTTCTTAAACTCTTTGATGCCATGTCTTAAATGCCAGTATTTGCTGCTGAAGACAAAAAAGAGAAAAAAAAAAAAAAAAAAAAAAGGAAAATAGAATGAAAATAATAGAATGCACTGTGTTTATTATTTTGTTAAAATTACGAACATTTCTACATAACCCCAATTATAGAAGAAAAGGGGCGTGTATCTCATTAAGATGCACCTTTTGTTTTGCAGTGTATGATGTCTTTAGCCAATGATTTGCCTCTTGTTTGGGAAAACAAAGTTAATATGCCATGTATGTACAGTTTATTTATATTGTATATATTTAAAGATAATGCTAATAACCTATATAAATTTAAGTGACTTAAGGCCTATAATACAATCTGCTATTTTACTAATTTGTAAGTCAAGAACAAAAGTTTCTTATGGCATAGGAACCAACTGCCAACTGCCTTGTCTTCAAAACCTATTAACTTTCTTTAATCTCATGTTAATTGAAAATTTTTAAAAGTTTTTCCAGATTGGTAATATTTAAACAAAAAATACTTAAAGCTTTATTAAAATTTTTAATCAGGCAGAGAATAGAGCTTTTGTCATTTGGACGTTCTCGTCCAAAGCGATCAAAGTATGTTATGCTGACAGAGCAGGAGCAGCAGTTGTAAAGTAGCCAAAAGCCACGTTGTTTATCTACTGGTCTGTGGCCTTTTACTGTGCTTTGTATCAGAGTTCTTAACAAGATTAATAAATCACCTCAGTCTTAATTTTTAAAAGATTTGCAGTATTGTCTTTCATCACAAAGACCAAAGGAAGCTGGATACAGTGGCATACACCTATAATCCCAACATTTGAGGGGGTGAGATGGTCAGGTGAGGGGAATTCAAGGTCAGACTCAACTACATAGTGAGTTGAAGCCTACTCGGGATACAGAAGACCATCCTGCAAAAAGAAAACAACCAACAAAGCTGAAAAGAGATAAACTAGAAGAATCTCTCATCTATTGTGTGTGTGTGTGTGTGTGTGTGTGTGTGTGTGTATTCTCTCTCTCATCTATCACATTTGTGTGAGTATGTGATGTGTATACCACAGATCCGGTGTGAAAGTCAGGCCCACCTGCAGGAGACAGCTCTCTCCTTTACTGTGTTTGTCTTGGAACTCTGGCCTATATTTTGGCCCAAGGAGATGTGAATATAAGGGGATTAACATTTCTTTACCTTTGAAAGCAAGTAGCAAGTTCCAGGCCAATCTTTTTTATGCACTCATATGAAAAGATAGATGCACAGTAGGAAACTTGTTGAGCATAGCCATTTTTGATAGGACCTGGGAGGCTGCCTAGATCCATAGCCAACAGCTGTGTGAGCCATCCTCCAGCCAAGAAAAAGCACTGTCAACTTGCTTCAGTGGCAGCCAACCTGGCAGCTCACAGGTAGGTTCTGCAGGCTCCTGCTGCCTTCCGGGCTTTGAGACAAAAACAAGCACGCTCTGTGGACAGCGGCTGGGCGGCGCGGGCTTTGCGTGATCGTGACGTCACCACGTGCCGCAGCCTGTGGCGGCAGCAATGGCGGCGGCCGTGGGGCCGGGGCCGGAGCCGGAGCCCGAGCAGGGGGACCCGCTGTGGAGCTTCGTGCGGGTTCTGGAGAAGCGGGATGGGACAGTGCTTCGACTGCAGCAGTACGGCTCCGGAGGCGTGGGCTGCGTTGTGTGGGACGCCGCCATCGTCCTCTCCAAGTACCTGGAGACGCCGGGGTTTTCTGGCAACGGGGCCCACACGCTGAGGCGCCGCTCCGTGCTGGAGCTGGGCTCGGGCACCGGGGCTGTGGGGCTCATGGCCGCGACCCTCGGGTAAGAGCCGGCGGGCGGGCGGGCGGGGGCGGGATGGCGCCTGGCATCGGATCACCCGCTGCAGCCGCGCGCCTGTACCCCAATCGAGGTTGTTTTTTAGGGCAGATGTTGTAGTCACTGATCTTGAAGAGCTGCAAGACTTGCTGAAAATGAATATTAATATGAACAAGCATCTTGTGACTGGTTCTGTTCAAGCCAAGGTACTGAAATGGTTTGTATGGCCTTTCAGCTCGTTTTAAAATAACTGCTTTCCTTTGCTTTAAATTACACTCTGCTCAACGCGTGGTTAATGAGGGAAATTTTCTGCTTCTCATTTCTGAAATGAATGTTTTAAGTTGTTAAAAAGCATCTGTTAAAGACATAGTTTGACGTTTTTAAGGGGGGAAGAACTAGAAGACGCGACTTCACCAGACTACATATTGATGGCTGACTGCATATACTATGAGGAGGTGGGTGTTGAGTGAGCTAGTCCGTGAGTCCCGAAGCCCACATCTCTTCTCCTTGTAACCGCCCTGGGTGTGAGATATTTGTTGTATAGACGATGAAGCAGTAAAGAGAAGACAGAACCATCATGGTCAACGTGATATGTGAACAGTGGTCGAGAAAACTTACATGCATTCTACTGCAGGCTTTTTGTAAAATTATGAGAAGCCAATCTGTCCCTCTCCCTCCCTCCTTTCTTTCCCACTGACTGTTAACCCTGACATTGAAAATTAAGAAGCAAGTCAGGTATGGTGGCTTACACCTGGAATCCCAGGACTTGGAAGGCTCACGCAGACTGATTGCCATAAAAGATAGGCCATCATAAGCCACTGAGTAAGACCCTTGCCAGAATTAGTTAATTTTCAGTGACAATATTTATTAAACTTGTGGAATGATTTTTCTTTGCATATCAATTTATACAGTATTGAGCAGTATTTATTTTTTAAATTAATAGCTGTTGAGCCAAAGCTGATGTTCAAAGTAGGGTCAGCAGTTAAGAGCACATATTCTTCCAGAGGACCTGAGTTCAATCCCCAGCTCCTACATGAGGCAGCTCACAGCCTCCATGTAACTCTAGCTCCAGGGGAATCCAATTCTTCTGGCCTCTGCAGTTACTAACACTTGTGCACATAATAAAATAATACAAAAATTTCTTAAACCATTAGGGTCAGGCTGGCTTTTGTAGAATATATTGTTAATTGTTTAAATACCACATTAACTTAGGTTAAATGAAATTAGACTTTTAAGATTACTCGTGTAATCCCAGCACTGATATAGAGGGATCTCTGCAAGTTCAATGCCAACCTAGTCTATTTAACACACCCCTGTTCAAAACAAAGATACAATTCAATTCTGCTTGTTTTTGTGTAGAAACAAGATGTAACCCTTGATGTTGTTGTTGTTGTTGTAGTTTTGGTGGAGGGGATAGAAGTCAGTATAATTGATTAGTCAATGGTTGTTTAACAACCTAGTTGTGATATGTTGCTTTGTTGTATTGATTCAGAATGGTTTGATTATAGGACCATTGATCTCTTCACCTCCTGATCCCCTTTGTATAACAGGAGATTCTTGAAGTAATAAATTGAAAATTGTACTTTTTTTTTAATAGTCCTTGGAACCATTGCTGAAAACATTAAAAGAGCTCAGTGGACCCGAAACTTGTATTATATGTTGCTATGAACAGCGTACAATGGGGAAAAATCCAGAAATTGAGAAGAAATATTTTGAGGTGAGTATTGTGTGTAGCAGTTATCTGGGGAGCTGTATGTGGTTGCTCTGACAATTTCATTTGGGGAAAGCTTTCTCTTGATAACCCAAGGAGAAGATCCTCCACAGCCCTCCTGCACAGAGCCCACTGTTCTTGGATCTTCCTAGTCCCGAGTCTTGTTTCTGCTCTAACTGGTCCATATTGTTTCACAGAGCTGTGTGGGGGACTGGTGATGGCACGCCTGTCTTTTTGGTTTTCAAGGCTGTTGAGCACAGACTGGCTTTAAAGAATGCATGATAGAATTGTGCAGGTGGTAAATTTTACTTCTGTGTTTTCCTTTATTTATTTATTTATTTTTATACATTTTTACCTAGTTCATGAATTTCAGGGCTTTAATCACCAGGATTTATCCCCAGTGCATGAGCCAGCTTATCAGAGCCCATTCCCTATGCGGAGATGCCACACTCAGCCTCAATGCAGGGGGGAGGGGCTTGGTCTTGCCCCAGCTTAATGTGCCAAGCTGTATCAATGCCCTATGGGAGTCCTTACCTGTTGGAAGGAATGCATGGGGGATAGGCTGAAGGGAGAGACAAGGGGGAATGTGGGGAGGGGGGGGAGTGGGAGAATAAATTTTTAAAAAGGAGTACTTATCTTTCCCATATCTGTCCTTCACTCTACCCCAAGTGGTGACCTAAATCCTTTTATGGACACAAATTCAGCCCATTAAAAATTGGCATAATGGCAAAAGCTATGACTCCCTTGGATAACGAATATGAGAAAATGTTACTAACTTTTGAAATTATAATTAAAATAATTTGTATTTAGTTAAAACATGTCCACTGTACGTATATTAAGTTCTCAGCTCATGCATTTTCATGCAAATAACTGCTCCAGCATAAAGACACAAACCACTTCCAGACTTAAGGAGGTCTCCATGTTGCCCTTACAGGTTGGCCATTCTCCAGAAAAGGACCGTCACCCTGACTTCATTACCGTAAGTCTGTCCAAATTACTGAGTGTGACATGTATGTCCTTTACATTTACAGCTCCTCCAATTAGACTTTGACTTTGAGGAAATCCCTTTGGACAAACATGATGAAGAATACCGAAGTGAAGACATTCATATTATATACATCAAAAAGAAAACATCAGTACGTGCATTCACTTCTTCCTACTCTGAGATCTCATCAGCTGACCCTTGTCTAGGCTAAGGTGTTGTCAGGTCATCGTGTTCCCCCCCCCATCTGCCCCCCCCCTCCACTCCCCGTCCCCCTCCGCACATAGTGAAATAGCAGAAATGGTGACTGACTGGCTGTAGGCATCGACACTCAAGATTTCCATCTCCGACCTGCCCCACCTTGGGTTCTTGATCACATCCCAGAACTCAAGAAATGGAAGGCTGTGCAGTTGGAGGCCAGGCTGGGCTATATAATGAGACCCTATCTCAATAACTGTATAAGGCCAGCTTGGTTTCTGCCATGCTGGGGATGGAACCATGCCCTTGCTTGTGACAGGCAAGCTGTCTACCACTGAGCTAAATCCCCAGCCTGATGGACCCTTTTAAAGTCCTTTTCAGATATAAATGAAATGGCTGTGTAATTTAATGATGGAGCATGTCCATCAGCAGTTACTTTAAGGCAGTGAAATACAGAAAAAGCTTATCTTGGCCCGTTTCAGTCCTGGGTTTGGATGGCCTTATCTGTTGGGCCTGTGAGCAAGCTGCAGGTGATGGCCAGAGTGTGACAAAAGACAGTTCACCTCCAGCTGAGGATGAATAGAAAGAAAGGGAAGAGCAAGGTCCACAAGGGCATGCCCGCAAGACCTGGCATTGTACTTCACTTCTTAATGGTCCCAACACTCCTCCAAGTGCTCGAGCTGGGGACCAGACCTTTGATGGGCATTTTTCCAATCTATGGCATTAAACATAACCTCAGACAAGTGATTCACTCTCTGTTTCAAGCATGTTTTCCTGCCAGCCTAGTCCCAGAGCCTCACCAGCCCCAAATAACACACAGAGATGCTGTATTAGATATAAAGCTGTTGGCCAGTTACTAGCATTTCTTATTGGCTATCTCTGTCTTAAATATTAATCAATTTCTATTAATCTAAGTATGTCCATGTGGTCTTATCTTACCAGAGAGAGGGCCTGGAGTTCTACCCTGTTGGTCCTATATCTTGAAACTTCTCTCTCCTACTTCCTCTCTGCTCTTTGTCTCCTAGTCCTGCCTATCTTTCTTTCCTATTGGCCAACAGTGCTTTACTCATTAACCAATACGAGAAACATATTTGTAGAATGGCATCTCCCATCGACTCTCTGTAGCTTCCTTTTGACTCTGGTTTTTTATTTGTTTTTGGAGACAGGGTTTCCCTGTGGCTTTGGAGGCTGTCCTGAAACTTGCTCTTGTAGACCAGGCTGGTCTTGAACTCAGAGATCTGCCTGCCTAAAGGTGTGTTCCACCACTACCTGGCTTGACTCTGACTTTTTAAAGGACTAGTTGTAACTTAACTTTAAGCTTAGTCATTGTCCTTTTCCTTTTAAAAGGCAATTAGGTGGGTTGATCTGTAAAAGAAAAGTACCCCCAATTAAATGGATCTTTATATGTATCCCCCTGTCCTGCCACAACATTTATGTGGATTGCCTCTGTTGACCCTGTGGGTCCAGCCTGTAGAGGGGAGGATGGCGTCTCCCATCTTGTACCCATTTGTAGTTGTGACTGCGGTAAGGCGGAGACCTTAGTTGGACTGATGAGGCTGAAATTTAGTGAGCTTCACTTCTTTCTGATGATTTTGCAATGATTGAATTTGCTCATCTTGTTTCCTGACAATAAAGATTCTAGCCATAGTTTTAGGGACCAGAAGTGGGTGTTAAACTCAAACTCAGTGTAAGGGAAGAAGGGTAAGAGGGTTATAATTCAGGTTGGCTGGTGTTGATGTGGAATGTGCTAAAAGGGCAAAGAAAATACTTTTTTTTTTTTTTTTTTTTTTTTTTTTTTGCCTTAAGGGATTGCAGTTTGCTAAAGCTGCTGTACTGTTTTAAAAATAGATTTTTTTTTCTTGAGGCCTAATCTGAATATAAAGCGTTGTTTAGTTTTTGCAAAGACGTATTTCCTTTTCAAATTGATATAATCGTCATTTCTTCGAAGCATACATCTTGGTGTTTTAGTATATTCGGAGTTACATAAAGCACTACTTTGTAATTTTTAAGTGTTTTCATCTCCCCAGAAAAGAAACACCACCAGCCCTCACTACACGTTCATCATTCTGTGTGCTTTCCAAGTGTGATCTCAGGGTGTATCCCTTGGTGTCTGGCCCTTTTCATCCAGCAAAGTGTTTCCAGCGTTCCTCTGCGTACCCTGCTTCACCTTATACTCCTTTCTGTGTCTGCTTCACATCCTTGTGTGTGGCTCTGATCATCTAACCCACCCATTCAGCCTCTCATTTGCCTTTGCCTGTAAGGAATACTGCCTCCGCAAACATTCTAAGTCCTGGTCTGTCTGAACTCAGAGGCTGCATAGGTGTGAAGAGTGACCAGACTTTCCCCAGAGCTTTGCTGCTCTACTGTCCTCACATTCCCATCCCAGCCGTACCCTCCTCACCAGCGCTTCTTACCGTCTCTCATCGTGACTGTAGCTGTTGTAGTAGATGTGGAATAGGATTTCTTTGCAGTTTTATTTTTTTTTTCTTAATGATTAACGATATTCAGTATCTTCTGTGTCACCAGAGAAATATTTGCCCATTTTCAAATTGAGTTGTCTTTAATAGTCTAAGACTCCTCTGCCTTTTGATACCAGAAATGTGATTTGCAAATAATTTCCTCTATTTTTCGGGTGCCTTAAATTTTTTGGTAGTGTAGGTTTTGCAGTGCAAAGGTTTTTAATTTTGATACTATGCATACATCTGCTTTTTCCTTGATTGCTTTAGATGTCAACTAAGGACATCTCTAAATGTTGTACATAGTAGTTCACTTGAATTGCATTTAGGCACTACTGGGTGTCTCACATAGTATAAAATACTTAATGAATATTTGGTGATGGGAAATTAATGTTTAACCTGCTCCCCCCTTTCCTTATAGAAACTGCCATCATGAAACCCCTTTCCATCTTATCCATGCCCCTGCCATCCCTCATAAGGTAAAGATGTGAATGGAGCATGTGCACACAGCATGGGAAGATTGCATTTACAATTTCTCCAGCATGCCCTTAGAGATCTGGCACTTGGATGACAACCACCATGGACTGCCCACAGTGTGAAACATCTCCCTGCAGTGGGCTCGAAATCCAACTTAGGTTCTGTAGCTCAGCACCAAGCTCTGCTTAAAAGAAACACTGGGATCACTCAAAAAAAATAAATTGAGGTTAGCCTCAAGTCTGAAGCAGCATGGTTGACTCAGTGCATTTTCAAGAAACTAGAGATAAGTCGATCCAATTTCTAATGATATCTGTTACTGTATAGTAATGTTTAAGGGCTCCAGACCATCCTGGTCTACAGAGTGAGTTCCAGGCATAATGAGACCTTGTCTCAACAAAGAAAAGGAAAGGGGAAGAGAGGAAGACAGACTAGAGATAATGACCCAATTAGTAATCATAGTTATATCTTACTGTGTAATGTTTAACTTGGAAGTGGTAAATTTTAATTTGTCTTTCAAGAAAATTTCAAAGACAGTCACATTTTACGTAGTTGTGCAGTAGTGATTTTTTTCCTTACATTTTAATACTTACATGTTCTTTTAAAAGAAACTGAAACTACTGTCTTGCGTCTCTACTGGCCGTAGTTTTCTTTGCCCCCATCACATGTTGGTTTCGAGAGGTCAGGGTGCTTACTGTAGTGAGTCACTAGACGGACGCTGTGTCCGAAGGACAGTGCGAGAAAAGAATGTGTTCACATGGTTCAGCAGTTCTCTTGTGTCTGCCTTCCAAGAAAATCTGGTTTTAAAACACGAATATTAAAGGCATCGTGTTTACACAAAACTGATTTATTCTTCAACTAAAAATTAGTTCAGTGCACACTTATCAATTGCTTTTTACTGTGTTTTCTCCAATTTTTGTTCCAATAATCATCTGCTCACATGGACTAATCTGTCAATGACTTGAACAACAACACCAGTTCCAAAAAAGTAGTAACCAGATGGAATTCTGGAATTTACAGTCGTGGGTGCTAGATGGCGCATTTCATTTGTTGATGAAATAAACATCATTTTTGAAACTTGTGACTCTGAATGCTTCCAAATGGCTTGAAAGAGATGATCATTGATAGTGAATGACTGCCTCCCAGAAAGCAATAGCAGCTCCATTTAGAGACACCGAGACAAGAATCAGATCAGAACAGTGCTTTATTCCAGAGTTTTCTTCCAATTTTAAAGCTTGCTTGCTGTTACATTTTCAAAATACTATGGCCTCATGTACTACCTCTTGAAACAGTTTGCCCCAGGCAGTTTTAGAAGCTGAATGTGTGATGCTTTGGAGGTAATAGCTTACCTTTGCAGCTTGCCCTCCTAAGCCAACATTGACCTCAGATCCTCAGATCCCTTCCCACTCCCTCCACTTTCTATTTCTTCCTCCTTGGAACGCTACTTTTATATGTAGTCCAGCTGGCATAGCCACAAAGAGAACTTAGTACCAATTTTCTGGAAACCACACCCTGCTTGCCTGCCCTACCTGCTAGCTCGACCCACTCCCTAAGCTGTCCTGCAGTCACACTGCCTCTGGGGACCTGACCTAAGGGAGTGGCAGACTGGAGCTATAAGTAATTTGTAACAGAATGAAATGGGACCTTAAAATTCCCTGATCTGGAACAAGGCCAAAACTGAGCTCTACTGCCGGACTTAACTGAGGAGTGCCTCTCCAGAGAACACTCAGTACCAACTACAACCCACACAGAACCCCTGTTTTGGAAGTGTTCTGTATTTAGCACATTATGGTGTGTTGATGGAACAGGGCTCTGCACTGGGGAACCAGCCGAAGAAGGGCATGGGGTAACAGGTCCACTGAAGGCAAAGGGGCGACCAGCATCTGTCCTCAGATGTGTGTGGACTGCAAGAGTGACTTCTTGGCTGTTTTACACCAGAGCTGGGCTACCGTGAACACTGTGAAGCTGGAGGACCTTACCAGTCTGGGAACTGATCTGTGAGTTGGGGCCTAGAAGACAGCAGCAATGTGTATGTCCGGAGAGAGCTGCCAGTGCATACCCGGAACACCAACACTGGGAAGGTGGAGGCAGTAGGATCATGGGTTCAAGGCCATTCTGGGTCACACAGTAACAAGACCATATCTCAAAGACAAATGGCAGGTGCAGCAATGGATGGATGGGATGGTGGCACTGGCTGGGCACCAGCCAGAGCGCACCAACGGTCTCAGTAATTGCCAGTGTATGAGGAAACTGCTAGAAATGAATCAGGGTCCTCTTGAACAGGTAGGGCCTGCTGCTGTGCACAGTGGGGCAGTAAACCACTTCCAGAATGCAGGCGGAAGTCAGCTGGGAAGGGCTTGCAGCCCTGCCCTGACATCTTGAGGTCACCTGGGAAACTGGAAACAAACTTGCCAAAAGCTATGCTACGCTCAAGCTCCATTCAAACCCAATTAAACACAAGAGGTGTGATGTTGTTTAAATTGAGAACATTACCATAAAGTCACTTGTGTCTACTTCCCAAGAGGACCTGTAGCTAGAGGGGTCTGTCCTGCACACACAGTGAGAGCTGAACCTAAAAACCTGTTCGAACAACTTTAGAAAGTGTGGTCACTGTCAGGAATCCCTGAGAACGCAGAGAGGTCAGGAGAGAGGGATTTCACAGTTCAAAGAGGCAAATTTCCGACTTCATCACCTGCATCTCCTCCATGCTCTGCGTGGAACTTTTAAAGGCCTTCGTGGCTGTGTGACTGCGCACCGCTTCTGCTCCTGTTGATAGCTGTGTGTCTGTGGATCCTATTTGGTGACATTAGGCTGCTTTTAGTTACTATAAGAAGTAACAGTCCAAATGGTAGTGGGTCTCTATATTTCCTTGTCATCCTTTCCTCGAGCTTTCTTTAGTGAGTCCGATTTCTGGAATTAATAAATTTAGTGTGAGACACAGAACGGGGACTGTGGTTCTAAAGGCCCCCTGTAGGTGGCATGCCAGTCTTTGTCTTTCAACAGCTTCTAACAAGGCGGCTGTGAAAATGCGATTTTTTAATTGCAGTCACCCTCGGATTTTAAAACTGAACTACATTTGATTTTCAAAATGAGCTTACCCATTGGGAGTTCCTTGCTGAAGAGAACATGACAGAGGCTAAGTGAGGTGGTTTTCCTAGGAAGTTGTACTGGGTGTAGGTTTCTGTTTTCATTCTGTTCAACCTTTGTCTTTCATGAAGCTGCATACATTTTGATTCATAAGTCACTGTCTCCGCTGTTGATCCCGTCTGGACAAAGAAGAGCGACCTTTAAGAATCTAAACTGGTTCTAATTAGTGCAGTTCTGAAAATGAAGTTCAAGGTGAACTTCTGTCTGAAGTGCCTAGAAGTACTTAAAACTTCTAATTAATTTTAATTGGTTCTCCAAATGGCATTCCTTCTCCATTAGAGGAGCAGATTTCATATCAGAAGACTGAAGCGGTCTGTCAGTGGCCCCTCCCACAATTCTACAATCTTAGGGTGAGCACAGCTTCACCAAAAAGTAATAGGAAAGCCAAGTTTGCAATTTTTCATAATTCTGAATGGGAAAGCAGTGAGGTTCTCAGGGCCATTTTCAGGTGGAGCTCTGCCCGGCAGAGCACAGGGCACCCAGCCACACCAGCGGTGGTGAGACACTGTCATTCTTAATAACAAGGTGCAGTTTGTATATAGTAAAAAGCAATATGCTAGAACAAATCCTTTGCATGATAATGGATCCTTCGTGTGCATTCAGGATATAGTGTTAGACCATAAACCCAAGGACCACGTGATCCAAGATTTGACCCCAAGGTCTGTCACTCGCTGTCTTTGTCATCTTGAGGGGAGTTCTCTTAAACTCTCTCTGCCTTGCTGTCCCTGTGAGGATCATTTTATTATGGGCCTCAGAGGTTCCCATGGGAACTAAAGGCCTTTGCTATATGCAGTGCACCTGGGTACTTGGCAGATAGTAAGTGCTCAGTAAACATCATTATGGCAGAAATGGAATTACAGGTAGGGACTTGGAAAACTTGCATAATACCAGCTGATTTTATCTGTTGCATTGTGAAATCCAGACATCTTGTTGAGAGTGTAGAATGCATGTCAGCATCCCTTCCCTATCATGGAGTGATGGCCACTGAGGCAGGAGGAGGTTGGCCACACTGATCCACAGTGCTGTTAGCTGAATGAGTCAGCCATGTTAGAAAAATCAGTGCTATTCACTTGGAAGGCAGGTATGTGTAATGTACATACATGATGCCTAGAGTTTTTTCAGTACTGGGCTTTGAACTTCCAGCCCGATGTGTACTGGGCAAGTGCCTTACCACTGAGCTACATCCCCATCTCTCTCATTACTTTGAAATCTTGGGACCAGGTCTCGTTAGGTCTCCCAGGATGGGAATACTCACTGTGTATCCTGGGCAGGCCTTAAATTTGTCCTCCTCCTGCCTTAGCCTCTCAAGTAGCTGGAATCACAGGCCTAGTCCTCCAAATCTAGCTTATTTTTATAGTTGTAAAGTAAGTGCCACAAATGTTAAAAGGCCAACAGAGATGAAGGAAATCTCGTTTCTAAATATGGGAACCTAAATGTGCTTTGGAATCTGCATTCCATTGCTCCACATGCTTACCCAAGTCTAACTTGCGTGGTTTTCCTCTTCGTTAAACCTGGGAGCAGTTAGGTAGCTGTTACCATGGATCCATTCCAGGTAATCATAACAGTTGCAGTTGCCACACATGGTAACTCACACTTAAAATCCCAGCACCTGGGCTGAGACAGGAAGACTAATGGGAATTTGAAGGCAGCTTGGGCTACATAATTCCAGGCCAGCCTGGGCTACAGTATGAGATCCTATCTATAAATCTGTCATTTCTCTTACATCTGGAACTTAGTCTGTCTTCTCATGTATGTTCAGAGCTGAAGCATATTCATTGTCTTTAAAGCCTGTGGCTGTTCACAGATGAATGCTTTTATTTTGTTTGTGTTTTGTTTTTCAAGACAGGTGTTGCCTTGGTTGTCATGGAATTCACTCTGCAGAGCAGCTGACCCTGAACTCAGAGATCACCTGCCTCTGCTTCCCTAGTGCTGGGATTAAAGGTGCCCACCACCACCACTATCAATAAATGCTCTTTCACTGTAGTAATATATGGGGTGAGATGTAGATGATTAACCAGTTCTTCAGATCACCTGACCCAATCTGCCAAGAAGTTAGGAAAACTATAAGTTTTAATTCTTTTTCACTGGGGTGGGAGGAGATGGGGTAAGGGGGTTGCATACACATGTGTGCCTGTGCGTTATGGGGGGGGCGGGGCCTGGCTGTGTATACACATGTGTACACAGACTTTAACTATATCAAGTCAGAAATAGGTTCATGGGGGTGGGGGACAAAAATAAACCAGGGCCTCGTGTATGTGAGGCAATCACTGTAAGTTTAGACACTAGTCTCTGCTCGTTTGAAATAAGGTTTCACTATGTAGCCTGCTGATCTCAAACACACTGGAAACTGTTCTGCCTCTGCCTTCTGAATGCTAGAATTAAAGGCGGGAACCACCATGCCTGTCTTTTTGACTGACGAAAAGAGTGTTGTAAGCACTAAATGGCTCTTGAGTTTTGAAATCTTGACTATCTGTAATGTTACCTGTAATGATCAGCTGACATTTTAAATATTCATAAGGTTGAAAACATTGACATTTCTTCATTCCAAACAAGATTAGGCATTTTGAGGTGGAGCTGTTGCACATGGAGATCTTGAAGACTTCCTCCAGGCTCTGGTGAGCCACCAACTGCAGTCGGTCAAACTCTTCATGGGCTGAGCAGGGCCGGTTGAAGATTGTGTGCCGGCTTATCATTACTTTGGCATTTGTTGTCAGACGTGTGTGTATTATCAACAAACCTATGTAGCAACAACTTTCAGCCTTCCACCTTGTTCTTCTAAAGAATGCCTTCCAAAAAACCTGTTCACGATAAAAGTGCAAAATAGCCAGCTGTTGACGCGCCCTGATTAGATAAGCTCTACCCAAATTGTCTTACTCAAGGTTTCTGTGGCTGTGATGAGACACGATGACCATATGCAACCCTGCACGGTC